AGAGTGTCCTAAAAACCAGTTATATATATATATATATTATATATATATGCATATGCACTTCTATGTTCATATATTTTCAAGTTATGATAAATGATTGATAAGTTATGTGTAAAGATATGTAAGCATTGATGCACGCTAGAAAACTCGCGGCGATAGAGTGATGGATTATCTTCCCAGTGTGGTGCACACATCCATTTGGCGCCATTTGTGGGAATATGGAAAGATTTTGAGCTTTTTTTTAATTTTTATTTGAAATGAGGAAGTCGGAAAGTCAAAAGACAGAGGTCAATAGGCCCAAAACTAGAAGATGTAAGGCCAAATGACAAAGAAATTAAGGTTGATTTTAATTTTTTTTTAAATAATTGCATTTAATGCTAGACATCTTCTTAAGCCTAAAAATAGAAGTCATAGACGAGGCGAAGATCCACAATTAAGGAAAAGGAGAAGGGGAAAAAAGATGGAGAGTGGAGAGTTGAGCCCTTTACTAGTGAGTTTTACCGAAGAAGAAAGTCATCCCCGTCCTGCGAGTATGCGAGCAATGAGATATTCTTTTGCGTTGCGACCAAGAGGAAAGTCATCCCCATCATGCGTAGCAGGTGAGCAACAGGTTATTCGTGTTAAAACAAAGAGGAAAGTCATCCCCGTTCTATGTAGCAGAAAAGCAACAAGATCTTCTTTCCTGTTGCAACAAAGATGAAATTCATCCTCGTCCTGCGTAGCAGGCAAGTAACATGATCTTCTTTTTCATTGTGGCGAAGAGTAAAGTCATCCCCATCCTGCGTAGCCGACAAGCAATTAGTTCTTATTTCACATGAGGAAAGTCGTCCTCGTCCTACATAACAGGCGAGTAACGAGATCTTCTTTCATGTTCCAGTGAAGAGGAAATTCATCCCCGTCATGCGTAGCAGGTGAGCAACGAAATCCTTTTTCGTGTTATTGTGCAAAAGAAACTTGTCCTCGTCATATGTTGCACGCTAACAACGAGATCTTCCTTCATATTATGGCACAAAAGAAAGTTGTTCCTTTCTTGCATGGCAGGTGACCAATGAGTTCTTCTTTCTCATTGGTGAGATGAAGAAAGTTATCTCCATCCTCATCCAGCAGATGACTCAGGATCTTCTTGCTTGTTGTTGATGCACATTTCAGTGGAGATGAAGAAATGCTAGAGTTTTCCAGCCGCACTTTGAGGGGAGATTTCCATGCTTCTGTAGTGTCGATATCTCTTGTAGTCATTTGTATCAGTTCTTGGTGATCTTTATATACTTTTTAATCATCTAACGTGACATTTGTAGATGATGATAATGTATTTCTTTGTATATCTTTAAAGTTTCTTCAAACGTTGATGTGGCTTCTCAATCATACAAAATTATGCAATTAAAGTTAGTACACACATTTTATAAAATGGAGAATCACGTACCTTTTGAGGCCCTTATCTTCCGAGGTTATGCCCTCTTGGCCTTATGCTTTATAAGAGCTTGAAATGAACCAGTACCTTCTACGACTCATAGCCTTTTGAGGTTTTTTTTATGTACACGTGTCTTCTGAGGATTGTAGCCTACTGAGATCTTTGATGTATTTGTGTCTTTTGAGGCTTGTAGCCTTCTGAGGTCTTTGATGTGCTTATGCCTTATGAGGCTTATAATCTTCAGAAAAGTTTGATTTAACTGCACCGTCTAAGGCTTGTAGCATGCTGAGTTCATTGAGCCTTCGGAGAATCAACCACTTGTTCTCGTGGAGTCCTTTTAGTGAGAATTATGCCAATTACTAGCTTCTCATAGAGACTTACTTTCTGAGCTTGTCTTCTAGGGGCATGGTAGCTTCTCATTGAGTCTTGCCTCTTAGACTTGACTTCCATGAGTATCATATCTTCTCATCGAACCTTGTCTCTTGGGCTCGACTTTTATGGCCATGATAGCTTCTCATTGAGCCTTGCCTCTTGGGCTTGACTTTCAAAAGTACTGTATCTTCCCGTCGAGACTTGCCTCTTGAGCTCGACTTCCAGGAGTAACAAATCTTCTTATCGAGTCTTGCCTATTAGGCTCGACTTCAAGGAGCATGGATGAGGATTTTGTATACCGCTTGTCCTCGAGGGAACTTTCTACACAAAATCTTTCATGAGAAAAATAAGAAAATTTCACTGAAATTACAGTTTAAAGCAACATGCAAATTTTACTAAAATAAAATTATGAGTTTATAAGTTGGTCTTTTACTCAAATAAGATAAGTTGAAGTTGTACTTCTATTTTGATAACTTCAATGATTCTCTTCTGTTTTACCTCTCCTTATTCTTGTAAATAGCGACCCAAATGACATTGGTGTATCAGATGTTCAATTTATTTCTTTAATTGAAACTATCTTTATGTCGAATGCCCTTTTGCATGGTGTAAATGACAATATTGAGACTGGTCTCTATTATCTAGATTTCTTAACGGCCTTGGCCTGTTTATGGTCTCTTCATCTTTGATGGCCATTAGGATATTGACACGTGATGTGTTGAGAGATTTGTATTATTTTTCTGATCGTGGCTCGAGAATCCCCTTTGGTCTGAACTTTTTTTATGTGAGATTTTAATGGTGTCCCCAGCGATATTTTTGTGCTTCCCCCCAGTCACTCAAATTGTTCTTTGTGTGCAATGATGATCTTGTCTGCAGAGATTTGAGCTTCGATGCGATGGATGAAATTAATGTAAGATCACACTGTCTCTCATATCAATGATGAATAGAAAGGTCTTAACCAAAGCCCTCCAAAAGAAACTCCTCTTAGTAAGTCTAGATCTACTCTAGGAATTTGAAGGGTTTCAGTGAAGAACCCGAGGAAGTATTCCTTGAGGGATTCCCCTTTATTCTGGTGAACTTCTGATAAGTTAGATGAATTTTTGACGATCCTTCTATTTGCTATGAACTTCTCTACGAATGATCTGACAAGCTCATTAAAGATGTTGATGATGCCCCTCGGGAGAGAGTAGAACCATGTGCAAGTTTGACATTTGAGAGTCATCGGGAACACTTGACAGAGAAGCATATCAGAAGCACGGTGAATGTGCATGATGATTCGATAGTGGTCAACGTGCTCATATGTGTCAGTTACCCTTTTTTAAGCATCAATGCTTGAGAGTTTAAAACCTGCTCGAATAGGGTGTCAGAGAACTGCATCAGCCAAATGAGAGGATTCTTAGAAGTTATAACGAGCAGGGAAGCGGTACATTTTATTCAGAGGGAATTCTTCCCAAACCAGACATCATAGCTCATATAGGATGATATCAGTATAAGCAATAGTAAGGCGGACCAGTGTCATATGAGTTGCATGAAACAAATGAGTGAAGCATGTAATTTGATCTTTCGGGTCAGTGTCAGATGAGTAATGTAATGTGGAGAAGATCAGTGTCTTTTCTCGGCAAAAGAATTTTTTCATCAGTACTAGAGAACCCAAAGAGCGGGTTATTTTTTGTTGATTGTTGAATTTGCGGTAAGTAAGTTTCACTAGGTTGTAGTTGTCGCTCCCTGCATAGGAGACAAAGGATCTCATGTTGAGACTCCTCCATCTTACGTACTCGATCTTCCAAAGAATGACTCAAAGCACCTTCTTCAGTGAGGAAATGTCTTTTGGAGTAGGAGGATGCAGAGGCTTGATGACCTTGGCTCTGTGATTGTCTTCTGGAATGATGGGTGCTGGAGCGAGATGCTTTGTTGTTGCGAGTTTTGCGCTTGGTGGCCATGCATCAATTCTTACAAGCATTTTAGTGATGGGAATGCTCTATATTCCCACAGACTGTGTCAAACTGATATGTGTTAAATTTTCATACCACACTGAGATGAAAATCCATTACTCTACGGTTGTCTCTGGGAATATGGAGCATTCCCATAACTAAAATACTTGTAAGATTTGTAGAAATCAATGTTTTGAGTGCTATGTATGTCATTCACCCTTTACTTTTATTTTTCTTCCTCAATTTTTATTATTAATAATTTTTGTATAAAAACTTTTTCTTTTGTGAGTACAAAATATATTTATATATTAATTAATCACATCTCGTGCTATGCAACACAATGTGATCATGCTTGGAAGTAAGTAGGGTTGTAAACGATCCGAGCTTGAGCAAGCTCATGCTTGGCTCATTCGAACATAATTTTATCTGAAATTGGTTTATGTTCGAAATTGCTCTTGAACTATTTTCATATTCTGCTTGAAATTAGTTCGTTTAAATTAATTAGAAAAATACATATAGTGTTGGATTCGAACCAATATTATTTGTTTTGCAATAAAAAATACAGAGCCACAAGACTACTTGAGCTGTGATGATTTAAATGTATATATATTTAGAGCTAAAACGAGCTGAACATGATCATACAAAGAGCTGTTTTTAACTCATTTATTTAACAAACAATTCGAACGCAAGCTACTTAACAAACGAACAAGAGCTTTTTTTGAGAGCCCTATCGATAAGAATATGACATATGAATGGATGACACCATAAAAGGTTAGACTTTTTATATTATTTGAGTCTAGTATTATATGAGTAAATAAAAAAAGTATTATTTGTATAAATTGGTTAGTTTTTGTTGTTATGTATAGAAATATTTAAAAATTAAATTACTAATACGTGATGATGTTAAATTAAGGGCCATTGGGCAGAGGATTTTAGAAGGGTTCATCACTTGAACTGCTAAATCAAGAATAACGGCAAAAAACAAGATTTTTCATAGATTTACAAATTTTGGAGTTTAGCAAATCTAATTTTTCATGACTTACAAATTTTGGAGTCTGATGCTAAATCCAATCGATCTCTTTCCAATGCCAAAACCATGAAACCTTATAGAGAGAGAAGATAAGTGATGGCTTTTAAAAAGTAATTTATCGCTAAATAATCTTTAAATTTTAAGAAATTTAAACTAATGTAATGTAACAATGGACTTTTAGCACTCCTGCAATCCATCCAAATGAGAAAACACAGTCCAAATTTCAGCATTATTTTAAAGCAGTCGCTAGAATTAGTTTGTCTGCACATGCTTCACATTCAAAAAGGTTATACGTTGTCTGCAAAAGAAAAGTCTTAACTTAAAAAAAAAAAAGAGGTTGAGAAAAGAAGAATGGGACAGGTCAGACCAAAGAAGCAAAAAGAGCCGGTGAAAGAAGCGCCGAATGTAAGAGCTAGGGAGCCGCACTGTTTTTGCTGTAGCGACTAATGCTATCTTCTTTGATCGCCACGGTCGAATGTGTCCACTGACAAAAGAGATCGGTTGCAATTTCTGTAAGCAATTGTGTGCATTGGAGATCACAGATTCAACGAAAGACTAAAATGGATAACAATCAAGCAGCTGTACCTTTTTCCGGCATGAAACGCTCGATCCACAGATGACACAACGACCTTTCAACGGGCTGCGTAGCTTTGAGGGAGAGGATGGAAGAGGAAGGAAACCGGTGGACAGGGCTTCGTTTCGACGGGTAGATAAAGGAAGCAGATTGAACGAGCTGAACTGCCGGAGAAGATGACCAACGAACGAACGAACGCGAGAGGAGGGGGAAGGAGCAGAGCTTGACTTCGCGTAACAACCAGAACTATCGAAGGACAACCGGGTAAAAATAGAATCGCAGAACGTGCGCAACATGGTCAATTCCGCGGTCGGCTTTTAGCAAAAATTTCTCCAGCGGTGGACGCGAAGTTGCCCTGTCGCGCTCCCAAAGAGGGGAAATCAGCGGTGGAGTGTCGCGAAGCCCTCCAGCCGCGCCCCCAAACATACCCTCAACCTATAATCTAAATTTGTTAAATCAAAGATAAGGGCGAATTTATGAATTTAGAGATATAGAAATTTATTTAAAATGTTAAAGCCTACTTGCACCCAAAAAGCTCCTCAGGGGGTGCTTGGTAGCACCCTCTGAAGAGATTTTACTTATGAATTTAACTCAAATCTAGCCAACCGACTACTGTCATTTCTTAGAGAGACGAATTTGCCAAATTTATGTTACCCTTATTTGTGACCATGTTATCGTTATTTGCAATGTTCGTCGGAAATCCAAATTTAATAAATAGTGCAAAGTTAAATAATAACTAAATAAAATCCGATCGTGCACCTAAACAGCCTTTGGAGTGGAAAAAATATTACATCCGGAGAAAGATACAGCTATGTGTTCAGACTCCAAAGTAACACCAAATAACCTCAATAACACTACAAAAAACACGCATTAACACTACAACCACCAACCTAAACCAACCCATTTCTATGAAACAAAACCTTTTCTGCCGAATATAAGTATCGATTAAAAAAAACACAATAATACCAAATAACTACAGTAACACCAAATAACCTCAATAACACTACAAAAAACACGCATTAACACTACAACCACCAACCTAAACCAACCCATTTCTATGAAACAAAACCTTTTCTGCCGAATATAAGTATCGATTAAAAAAACACAATAACACCAAATAACTACAGTAACACCAAATAACCTCAATAACACTACAAAAAACCCGCATTAACACCACAACCACCAACCTAAACCAACCCATTTCTGCCGAATATAAGTATCGATTAAAAAAACACAATAACACCAAATAACTACAGTAACACCAAATAACCTCAATAACACTACAAAAAACCCGCATTAACACCACAACCACCAACCTAAACCAACCCATTTCTGCCGAATATAAGTATCGATTAAAAAAACACAATAACACCAAATAACTACAGTAACACCAAATAACCTCAATAACACTACAAAAAACCCGCATTAACACCACAACCACCACAATAAGACTCAAATAACACCATAATAAACCTCAATAACTCCAAAAAATCACAATAACACCAAATAACCTCAATAAGTCCACAAAAAATCGCAATAACACTATAGCCACCACAATACGACTCAAATAAGATCACAATAAATCTCAATAACACTTCAATAACTTTACAAAAAATCGCAATAACACCAAATAACCATAATAGTACTAAATAACTTTAATAAATCCATAGAAAAACTCCAATAACCCATCAGTAATAGTAAAACAACCACAATAACACTATCATAACACTAGTCTAGAATAATACAACAGAGTCGCCACATACCAGTCATATAAAACTAAAATAACACATCAACAACACTACAATAATATCAGAATAAAACAATAGTAACACCTGAAATAAAACCTTTCAAAAATACCACCACAACCGTTGTAATACTACTCAAATAACACCTCAATAAACCTCAATAAAAACTTAAAATTAAAAAAAAAAACCACAATAACAACGTAGCCGCCGTAATACCACTCAAATAACACTACAATAAATCTCAATAACTCCACAAAAAAAATTATAATAACATAAAATAACATCAATAACTCCATAAAAAAAACTACAATAATACCATAGCCGCTGCAATAACATTCAACTAACACCACAATAAAGTTTAACAACACTTTAATAACTCTACCAAAAAACCACAATAATATTAAATAACAGCAATAACACCAAAGAACATCAATAACTACAAAACAAACCTTAATAAATGCTCAACAACTTCACAAAAATACCGCAATAGAATTTCAAAACAATCGACTGATTCGAGCTACATCACACATTAAAATAAAGCATTTTTCATTTTTTATTCAATGGGAGTCCAAATTTGTACATGACAACCCTTGATAAAATTTTATTGCAGTGTTACATAGTATTTTTTGCTCAGTGCCAAGCGAATCATCCTCCCCAGCTTTCCGTTCTCTTCCACTTTGGTAAGTGTTACAGGCAACTCTCACATGGTTTCTCTCCGCCTTTCCTTCTCCTTTCCTCAGCGGCCGGGTCGTAGGTCATCAAACTTTCCCAATTCGTCCTCATTCCCCTTTTCACCGGCCATCGTGGCCACAACCGCCGCTGCTCTTGCCGGCGCCACCGCAGGAATCAAGGTTGCCCTCGCTATCTCGCCCAATTCTAACGCAATTGGAGACCCTCCCTATCACAATCCGTGGAACTCTGATGCTCCTCTCTGGGCATCGCTATCCCTCGCTGAATCTCCGGCGACGGTTGTCGAACCCAAGACGGGAGTAATTTTCCCTAGCGTCGTCGATGGCGCCCGTCGTCTACTGGGAATCGGATTGCGGAAGAAAAATGTCTTTGGGCTGAAGAACATTGACGTCTATGCTTTTGGTAATAACATCTCTCGTATTCCTATTCTCTCTTCCAGATATCTAGCCGGATTGAGATTTCCTGTTTTGGATGGTTATGATGAAATTCATAGAGTAGAGGCATTAGTTTTGAGATTTTATATGCTTGGGGACTTCTGAACCAGAGTTTTTGGTTGGAAGGTGTTTTCATCGGCCAACCGAAGTTTGTTTGATATGTTAATAGTGGATCAGAGGAAAAGGGCGTTGTGATCTTGTTTGCCGAACTAAGGGCTCTCATAGATGTTCTTTGGTGGCTCTTAAATTTGCTCAACGTTGCTGCTATGCATGATATAATGTGGACAGCAAAACAGATTTAGTGCTGTTTTTTCTCGGATTGCTGTTCTTCGCAAAGGATTAAATGGGTGCTTTGGTTAGGTTCGGATGTGATGGAACTGGTATAGGTAAGATCTGTTGAAATTTTCAGATGATTTTAGGGCTGCTGAAGGAAGAATAGGGAGAGGGAGATTGAAAGAAAGAGAGAAACAACATGGAAAGAAAAGGAAATAGGATACGAGAAGGTAAGCAATAGATAGAAGAAAGTGAGGAGCGAGGAAAGAGTTGTGGGAGTTAAGATAAAATGAGAGAAAGAGTATCAGAGTAAGACCGGAGAGAGATTTTCTTTGAAAGATGGAGTGGAGATAGAGAATGCAAGATAGATATGAGAAATTTATGAGGAGAAGGATAAGAAACCGGAGGTAATCCTAAAGAGAATCGAGATAGGAATAATCTAATAATTTATCAATTCTCTTGATAAATATTAGGGTGTTATCTTATGAAGGACAATCACAAAGAATATTATCTAAAATAGATAACTTTCGAACATTAATGACATCAAAATGATAAATAATATTACCGTCCAGATCGATCATCACCAATCTCTTTGGGTTATGAAGAACTTTCCTGGGATGAGTGATAGTGATGTTGAAAATACCCATTGAAAAAAAAAAAAAACTATGAAAAATATGTTGCAGCTTGTCATGTGTCACTTATATGACCACAGTAGATAGATTTCACTTTAACATTTATACAACTGGAGCTACTAGAAGAACCAAAACTAGTGTCGTTAAAGGGGTTGTAAAAATTAAAGTTGTGAAAAAATTTGATGACTCAAAATTTCTTCTATAAAGTAATAATTCTCATTAGAGAAAATAAGAATAACATCCATGTTGAAAGACAGTGTAAACATGATAGGTACTAGATTTTTGAAAATATAGTAAGGTTTTAAAGCTTAGGTAGGCAATGCATTACAGGTTGAATACCTAAAACATCTAGGATATATACAATATAAAGTGTAATGATCTCCAAACATTAAAATGAGTATACACTATAGCTGTAAGATTTTCGTTATGCTTGACATTTAAATTTTCAATGTCAGTAAATAGCTTATGCAACTGAACAATAATAATGTAGCACAATCTAAATGCTTATGCAACTGAACAATAAATAATGCAGCACAATCCAAATATGAAGCATTTAGGAGTTTTAGAGTAATATCTATAAATTTTATAGGGGATTTATGATGGAAAACTTTATTTGGGCAAAATGTTAAGAACTTAGGATAAACATCAAAGAAAGTCATAGAAATCTTCTGACGATTTTTACATTATCTTTTGAGAAAATAGAAAGTTTAGGAATGCAAACTACTTAAATTACAACACACTCAAGGGGTAATTATTAGGCAATATGATGAATTTTATCTTTATTGTCAAAATCTTCTTCGACCCCCAACTTTCATTAAGGAAGCCATTAATATAAAAATTTATACTTTTTAATTAGCATTCTCTAAATGACTCTTCCTGGAATTTCATATATCTATAAATATAATGCCAAATATAAATCATTGGTTGATTATCATGTAGATGACTAATTGTAACATATCATTCCTTGAGAGTTGGAGAATGAGTAATGATTAGTAAATAATATCTCTAGCTAGTATGAGTGGATTGGGCTCATGGTCATTTCTAGTTTTCGGCTGTCAAGTCAGGAGTTTTATTCTGATTCACAAAAAAAAAATAATGTTTGAGCGCAAATGCTAGCACTTACTTTAGGATGTAAGTTCAAATTCAAGTGCAAGTTAAATTTAAAAATTTTTTCAATAGTGAATTTTCTTTTAGTTTGCTATCAAAAAGGAGATTTTGTTCTGTGGTTTCCAATACCAGTCTCTTTTACAATACCAGTCTCTTTTACAAGGAGATTTAATAGTTTGTATCTGTGGTTTCCATTGGGATTCAAAATTAACGGGGAAAAAAAATTTAGGCAACATTAATGCAAATGTTGGTTTAACTTGATTGGGACAATCAACATTATTCTTAACATTCTCATAAATTGGATTATATGTAGGCTCGAGGGTTTTTATCTTGCTGATAATCAAAGAGATCTACCAATAGAGGCATTTTTCTTGTTACACCCATAAGTAGGAAAATGGTGGACCGCATCTGTGGCTAGTATCAATCAACATTTTTTACCGGCCAATTGGTTCCATTGCTAACAACCCAACAACAGCATCTCATCTTTCAATTGACATTACCAACGGTGCCTGTTGGCTTTTCGATTGTTGATGACTTACAACATCATACCGACTAACTTTAGGCCAGCTTGCATCTGGTTTTGATCATCTCAACACTTGTTAGTTTCCTTATTAATATTTTCTGCTCCACTTCAGTGCTCTGCTGATCAAAACATCGATGTCAGCCCTCTGACAATGTCTCCCATTAACGAGCTTGTCATAGAATCTCTCATGTGGCCCTAACTGTGAGCTATCACGTCTTTTGTATGCAGTTGCTTACTACAAAAAGTTGGAAGGGACTGCAGCGTACTCTTTAGGTTATAATAGAATAGCCTCTTGGACAGCTAATTAGAAGCCTACGTTTTTTTCTATAAAAACTCTAGGACTATGTAGAGGATTTAGGTGATAATTGTTGAGATTGAGCTTATGTAAAAGAGGATTCTAAACTTGCATCTAAGTTAAACAACCTTTTGTGGTGCCCCGTCGTTATGATGATGTTGAAACTATTTCTATTCAATCAGAAGATAAAAAAATATACTAGATATGCAAAGATGTAACTAGCAGGATATCTAATGAAGAAAATTCTATTGCTTAAATATAAATTGGACACATACAAGAATCAAATTTTATTATTCAGTCGATGCCAGTGTCAGGATAATGGTAAATTAAATTTTGTTCATATGATATGTAACAAGCAAGATTTAATGTCACTATATTTCACTCACTTGCAATATGGTTTCGAGGTAATTCACTTTAGTTTATTAAAGCAGGGATGAATTTGCGATGGTCGCATAAGTCATAGATAGAATTTCCTAGACATATTTTCTTAGCATGGTACAAGTTTTGTTTATTAACATAAATCCAATTCAGCTGTTCAAGATAAGGATTATAACTTTAAGAGGCACAAATTCTCCTTGGATGAAGTCCTGATGATGCAATCAAGTGGTCTCTTAGCATTGGAATGGTGTCGATCTCTGACCAAACTTCTCCACAATGCCAATTGTTTGATATGAACGGCATGGAGGCACAAAATTAGCTCATGTTTCCACCCAAAGATAAGTTGATGATGCATAGTTTGGGATGGCCTATTGTTGTAGTTGGCAACCCAAAAATGTTGTGGATGAGATTTCTAATGGCTAAAGACGATATTTAGGTGTTCTATTTTCAATAGGTACGTAAAACCGTAGGAACCGGAAAATAATGCTAATGTTCATACTAGGGAAAAAGGAAGAAGGAAAAGGTGCCGTGAGGAACTAATCGTGAAAGATTAAGCCTCCTAATATTGAAATTAGTGTAGTATACTATTGAGAATGAATTGGTTTTAGCACGAAGTGAAAATAAGGGAAGCGATTATTGTGCAATGAAGCAATTGGTTACTTAATTTTTTTTGGATTGCAATAGGATTTACATACATGCCACACAATTGGTATGTATTTACATATCTAATACCTAAACATTCATATTTACATGTATACCACTCAACTCTTTAACGTCACATCAAAAATACCCCCCTTTCTATCTTTTTAAATATGAAAAACATATTTTCATGCTTAGGTTTATGACACAATGGTATTATTAGTGTAAAAATCAAATATTGGGTGTTAGTTATGTAAATACATAAGAATTGTGTGGATTTATGTAAATTTCCCTTTTAAATTTTAAATAAGGAGAGGGGATAACTTGGTTAATTTAGGTGTGCGGATGGAGATGCAGGATAGAATTTGTGAATAATTCAAGATAATTTAAGGGTTGTTTGACAGCCTTTCACTAGGATTTAGTAAATAATAAGGAAAAATAATGAGAGGGATTTTGAAGCGAAATATGTATAATAGTAAATAAATTGAAAGAAAGAATGGGCCAAGGAAGGAAAGTAAAAATTGGGAATTTACGTACATACCTCGTAACTCTTTTTGTATGTATATGCATCCCTAACACGCAATTCTATACATTTAAAAAAGTGAAATACTCCTTCTCTATGCATATATTTTGATGTGATTCATGCACTAAAGTGTTATAGAAGTAAATGAAAATGTAGGTGCAATATTTTAAATGCATAAGAATTTTGTGATATATATGCATATCCCCTATAACTTTAAAAAATAAGTAAAGACTGAGGATAGAATTGCAGTTGGATAAAACAAGAGAAAAAGAGTAAGAAGAAGATAGAAGAGATTTTCTTGGCGGCATAAAAAAGAGATTTAAAGGGGAAACCATAAGAAATAAGAAAGTAGGAGAGAAGAGACGGGATAGTGAAATATAGAGAGGGTGGAGGTGGGGGATTGTGATATTATCGAAATCGACTCAGATTTTTACCGTAAGTTAGGGTAAACACAAATATTTTCTTTAATAATCCAAACAACTCAAGCAATACAAAAGATAAATACCTACAATTCTAGAGGTAGGCGATCTCTCCCAATTCCTACAATTTGAGAGGTAGGAAGCCTCTCCCACAACCTAAACCTAGGACTCACTGCTCA